ATAAATACATGAATTGTTTTATCAATAATATTGTTATTTTCCATTATTAATGACGAATTTAAATCACTACACTGTCTATTGTCTACAGTTCTACACGTATTTGTTTTACGTTATTGTTAAATGATATTATTATTCAATGTTATTGCCGTCAATACGAAAACGTCACGGTCAGTCTAATGGCGGTGGTAACTATTTTTAGCGAAAAAATATTGCCTTTTCTTGGAAATCGACGTCGATAACTAATAACGATAAAAAAATACTAATAATAATAATACTTTTGGTAATTTGTATTTCATTTATTTTTTGCATTATTTAATATTATGATGTGATTTGTTTATAGCCCTAATGGATAGGACATGCCTATACCAGTTCCATATGAGGCCGTGTGAGTTTTTGGGGAAGAGAGAAAGTAAAGAGAGAAAGACGATATGAGGCTTTTTGAGGTTATGTTCTTATGTCCTATCCATTCTTAAATTATCTATGTTTATAGCCTCATTCCCTCTGTAATATAAAAAAATAAATACAAAAAAGAGCCGGGCACATTCAAATATAAAACTCTGGATCCGCCTATGTAAGATAGTTTAGAAAATTTATTTTTGAATCATTCCTGTGAATCTTTTGATAAAATGTTTTTGATTAATATATTTATACACTTAAGAATTTTTTCAGCAGTGAAATTTTTAAACAAAGCTTTAGTTTCAGAAAAAAATTAAAAGACAGAAAATTGACCATTATGACACATTTGTAATCACACTCACGCACACACTATTTTAGATAACTTTTTATATTTAAAAAAACATTAATAATACCAAACGATCCATTAATTGTGTCAACACTTATTATTTCAAAAAGTTAAAACTTTCAAAAAAATAATCTTTAATTTGATATGATTTTAAATAATTTCTGAACAAAAGTATTTTTTTTTGGTATCTACTATTTTATCGTTATCATTTTTTAAAAACTTTTTTGAATGTATATTTTAAATTCATATTATCTGAGTATTTAATTTAAATTCAATTTCTGTAAAGTAGTTATAACTTATAAGTATTGTTATGTTATGATGAAGAGAATAATAATATAGTGCACGGACATTTTAAGGGGTACATATGTACCACTATTCCCCTCATATAAACTGTAAATACTTATAACTACTTGATGGAAATTTGATTAAAAAAAAAAAAAAACGAAATACTCAGTAAATATAGATTTAAAAACATATAGTAATAAAGTAAATTAAATTAAAAATAATGATTAATATATGAAATAGTATTTTAAAAACTTTCTGAAATAATGAATATGGACACTGTAATTGTATCATTCTATATTTAGCTGTTTTTTTAACAATAAATGCATGATATTTTAGATGTAAAGCGAACAAAAAATTGTGTTTTTAAAATATATTATTTTCTTTATTATATACAATTTGAAATAAAAATTAAACTATTATTAATAGATTACTATATAGGTTACTTTTTGTATTTCTTAGTAATAAAATAAAGAATTACTCAATGATAAATTATGTTATATTTGTATCCCAGAAGAGTCACTTATGTTATTTAATTTTATAAACAAACAATTAATAAGAAGAATATATTTTTATAATTGATACATTTGGGCTACACCATTATTGTACAATAATTATATAAAATAAAGTACCGAAAAAAACCAGTATTTTACCGCATAAACTATTTAATTTATTTAGATTATGTATTTATGTGTAATTGGTAAATTCAATATTGTAATATCTTGTTAAATATTTATGAGTTAATTCAAATCTTAATAAAGTTACCAAATATGGAATTTAAATAGGTATACATTTTATAAATATATTGTGAAAACTTATTTTAGATTCGGAGCGGAGCGATGAATGTAATGATTTTACCATAATGTGTGTTTTTTTTTTGTGTCTGTCATCATGTTTTGGGGCAGTAAAAATACTTCGATTTTTGACTTCAGTACCTCTTTCGATCAGAAAGTGAATCTAGTTGGTACTTGGGAGGAGTCACAAGTAAAAAATTCTTAATACTTTTCTAAATAATTTAGAAAAACAAACTAAAAATTAAGGGGAAAACGGGAAATTTTACGCGCATTCATTTTTCGACAAAATCGATTTTGGTGTTTGATGTAACTTTAAAACAAATGACCATTGATACATGAAATTTTMACCGAATGTTTTTATAAGTATATTCTATCCACCATGCAATTTTCAAAAATTTTCGACTTAACTTGAACTATTCTTAGGCACTTTAAATTTTCAAATATTATTATTTTTTTAAAAATTAATATCGATAAAAAT